GTCACTGAGGCGATTTTCAATTTAATATTAAGAATTTATTAAAATTAATAACCGATAGCGAAAATAAAATATTTTTTTAATATCTTAAACAATGACCTTGTAATTTATAAAGTATAAAAATGATTTATTGATAATAATATTTTATTTTGTTGATTTCTTCAATTATTAAATGTTATAAATCGATCTCTCAATTATAAAATTAAATCATTTGACTATTAAAAATTATAAAATGATAACTTAATTGTTGTATTTTTAAATTATTTTTTTATTAAAAATTTAACGGCGCTCTAAGTTTGACGTTAACTTATTGATTTAAATATATATTAAAATCAGATCTCATAATCATTTTAAGTGTATTTTGTGGATCAATTCTCTATTTATATTATGTTGTTGAGTTAATGCTCGAAACATTAGGATATCTAGTCAGTATTTGAAATAACGACGATACTAATAGACATTATTAAAATATAATTATATCATATGACAATAAATATCTTAACGTCCAATTCAAATAAACTTTAATTTTTAACCAAAAAAAAAAGATAAATTTAAATTATATAAATAGTCAATAATTATTTTATAAATTTTAATATTCCGATAATTCAACAGAATAATTTCTTATAGGTAGATACTACTACTACTAATGTTCATCCAAATGATCCAATAAAAATGGAAAGCTTCAATTTGCCTTAAATTTGTATGAGTTCGACGCTTCTTAGAGATTCAATTAGGATTTGATTTTCAAAAGCAGTTTGGGAAATTCTAGCACTTTTTTCAGGTAAGTTTTGATTCAATTGTTCCTTGGAATTAAAGATTTAGGGTCTTTATTGAGCTTGATGATGGTGGGACTGATTTTATATTCCTGGAAAAGATAAATAGGTGATCAAGAGTTGGGTAGTAAAAATGATCTGTCAAAAAGGAACAGGAATATGAAGTTTAACTCTCTTTTTTCCAAAAAAAGAAACGTTGTATAATGGGCGGTTTTCATATTGTTAAATTAGGTCAGATTTAGAATTCTGTGATTTACAGTTGAGAAAGTTAATTTTTTTTTGAGTAATTTTTAAAGGTATTTGTTGGTTAATTCGATAATAATGGAGGAAGCTAGGTTTTGAATTTATTTCCTTTTATAAAGAGAAAAAATTCAGAAGGATTTTAGAACCTTCAGGATTTAATTTTTCTCCAAAGTGTAGGAATTTTCCGTCGGTGCCAAAGCCCTCTCATGGTGGGAGGAACTCTCTCACGGACTGGACTGAACGTGAGACATTTGTTTTACTAGATGCTTGGGGTGACCGTTTCTTGCAACGTGAGAGGAAGAGTCTTCGATCCGAGGAATGGAAAGAAGTTACAGATTATGTTTCGGAGGTTTCATAGATTGTAAGGACCGACACCCAGTGTCGCAATCGACTGGATACATTAAAGAAGAAGTACAAGAAGGAGAAGGCTATGCTGGCAGAGACTTGTGCTACCACTAGCAAATGGGTTTATTTTAGGAAGATGTATATGTTAATGTCAACTCCTCCACAGCAGGGTGGACTGTCTTGTGGTTTGGAATCGGGTGAGGCTGTATTCACGAACTCTAGGCCTTACTCGAGCCGGTCAAATGATATGGACGAAATGAGGGATAGTCCAGCAAATTCAGAATCTGGTGATAGTGATGAGGACATCTCAGATGGACTGCCTCCTAAAAAGAGAAGATTCAGGAGGCTATGTGATGAGGGTTCTTCATTCCGGCTGCTTGCAGATTCAATCCATAAATTCAGCGACATATATGGAAAGATTGAGAATGGTAAAAGGCAGCAGATGTTGGAATTAGAGAAGATGAGAATGGATTTTCATAGGGAGATGGAAATGCAGAAGTGGCAGATCATGGAAAGTGCACAAGCTGAGATTACAAAAATACAGCAGGGCGATAAAGAGGATAACTCCACCGAGAATGCCAGCGGGTAATGCACGCAAAACCCAGTTATATTCACCATTTCGATTCAATGTTGAATGCTAAATGTTGTTGTATAATATGTTGGAGCCTGTTGCCAAACGCTATTGTGAGTTAGATTTTTATTTTTGAGCCTTCATGGTTATATTTCACTGGTCACCCTTTTTGCCCTCCGTTGATGTCACCAACGATCAAGCTTGAAATATGCAATCTAGTTATAAAACATTATTTTGTTTTCGGAAAGGACAAATAGATCTCATAATTAGGTTTAGGTTTCTAAAGTCTAATACGTGATAGTCAACAATGCACGGTCCCTTGTACATTATCTAGTTTGGAGCTGAATTAAGGTTTCTCTACACTAGTACGATGATTAGTTCTATCGGTCAGTTTTTTACTTTTTGTGAAGCGAGGCCATGAGGCAAATATACTGGAGTAGAAAGATGGCCTAAACCTTGTACTTTTCTAGTACATTGACATCAAATTTGGAGTCATCTGACACGGTTGTTCATATAAACTGTTTATACGATGACCAAGTTGATCAATGGCAGATGTATGCATATGCCCATTCAGTGAAACTATTGCTTTTTATCATAACAATCCCACATAATTAGACTCCTCTCATATCATCTTTGAAGATTACGTAGTGCAAACTCCAACCCTTTTCATGCCCATAAAAATGCATATTTCTCTAATCTTCAAACTCGCAGAAGTTTGACGAAAAACTCGTGCTAATAAGTAACCGAAATACCAGCGTGTCACTTGGCTCGAGGCAGAAACAAGTTTGAAGAAAAACATTATAGGTGAAATGTATTGTCGGCAAAACGTCCAATAGCCTTGATTTGAGAACAGTTTGAAGAGTTTATCCATGAAAGCACGATTATTCTTATCTGCAAGCGAGTAAAAAGTAAAAACAAAACCGGAAGAATCTTCATACCCAGAAATAATGTGAAACCCTAACTGAAACCAGTAAAAATACAGAATGCTGAGAAAATCAACATTACCCAGAATCGGAAGTGATTACTAATCCCAAGATAGACCCTACAATCATGAAATGAATCAACACTTAAAATCCTCGTAAAAAGAGTAAAATTCAACCACCCTTAACATCAAATATTAGCAGGCAAGACTAATTGCAGTCCCTCTCTTGAAACCCCGGATTCTAAAGATCCGCTCTTAATAGCAAGTCTTTGCCGACATTGCAGAGAGAAGGCTTATAAAGTTGTAAAAGGATCACCAACGTACTCTTCTATCAGCCTACCCAAGAGCTGGTGTTAAGGGTCTTTCAAAATAGTCGTTATACATAAGGACACCGTATTTTGGCTGCAAAAATCATCACAATACCAGTAGGCTAATAATTTAGGCAGCACTTGAAGTAGTCTCTGACTTGTCAGTTTCCATTGGTTCTGCAGAAGTTGGAGGTGCTTCACCATTGCTTGCTGCTGTACTCTCACACGGGTTCATGTTGCGATTGGCTTCCGTGCCATCTGCACCCTGTGGCTGAGCCTCACTTCCCTGACTAGGTGTAGCTGGTGGTGTTTCAGGCGTGGCTGGTTGAACTAGTTTCGCTTTCGTCATTATTGGTCTGCAAAACCTGTTTAAAGAAAAACTCGATATCTAAGCATAAAGTATGAATAAAACAGGAATCTACAAAACCTTGAGAAAGTGAAATAGCGGGTACCTGTCTAGTGCTTCGTCATTCTTTCTCAACTCGGCTGACGAAAGAACCAGAGTGACATACTTAGGAAGTTGATCTTGCTAATGTTTTTCTTTCTTAGCCAGGCCTCAGCTTCCCCCCACTCATTCAAAACCTATAGTGTACCACAATAATTTAGATCTCAGCAATAGAAGGGGGTCAAAATAGAGAGGATAAGGGGGGACTATTACCTTTTGCTTCTCTAAAGTTCAATGTGATCAAACTTTGGGTCACTTGACATGGCTGCTTCCCTATAACTGTTAATACAGTAAGTAAGCTGATCAAGAACAGTTCCCCTTCGCAGCATATTCTTTGTAACGCTCTTCAATAGGATCCCCTTGCTGTAAAATTAAGACTCCTGTCAGTTGGGCATATCATACAGTCAACCTAAAAGATAACAGAAAGAGAATGATTACCTTATTAAGCTCTTCGAGCTTGGCAACATAGACGCCCTTTGTTTCGTCCTCTCCATCTTCATACAGGCAATCCTCTGTTTCCTGAAGCTTAGCAGCGAATTCTTCCTTCTCTGGAGCAGTAACAAAATCATGTTAGTTGTCACTAAGCTGAGGACATCGCACACTAATTACTTCTAAGATCATAACAGGCAAATAACAATTTTGAAAAATTAGATGAAGACAATTTACCTTATTCCTCATGTCATAGACATAGGCCTCGATTGCATTCTTTTTATCCTTTGTTTCTTCCATAACCCTATCTTGCAAAGTCATTTCAAACTCCTCCACTGCTTTTTGAACATCTGCAGGTAACATTGCACCATAAACCAACTCTGCCACTGGGACATTTGTTTTCTTGACCTTCTTGGGAGCCTCAACCTATATGACAGGCAGAACGTATAAAAAAATTATTCCATATAAAAACAAAATACACAGGCTCCAAAAATACTCCATATATGAAACAACTACAGTTTTGAAGACTAGGAGTAAGCCCCTAGAGGCAACACAACCATTCTAACAATTCTTGCGTATAGCATGGAGATCAAAAACACCTACTTTGCTATCAGTTTCCGTTTGCATAGGCTTGTCCCCTGACTCATGAGCACCATTTTCAACCCCTGCCAAATCGACTATACCCTTGACGTATTGCATGTTAACATCCGTCTCCTAGGCATTGGGGTTAGCAGTATCTATAGGTGCTTCATCAGTTTCCATCTTAGCATCTTCCTTAGCCGGCTCTTTTGAAACTCGAACCCCAACATCTTCCTCTTCCAAGAGTTAAAAACAAATGAAAGTAGTTTTTCTTTCAACATAAATAAAAAAGATTTATCCACAAAAACTTACCGTTGCAGATTCAAGATAAGCAGGCGCCAATTTTTTATGGCAATAATCAATACACAAAAAGAAGCTTCTTTTATTCTCAAGAAACAATACAAGAACTCTGGGAGAAACGCAAATGAATCTGGGAGATGTACAGGTGGATGAAGAAAACAGCGGCAGACGATGGTGAAGGCGGAGCGGAAGAAAAGAAGGCTTCAGGATCTTTAGCGAATGATATCAAGGTGGCATGGTGCCGAGGGATGACCGACACATGACGGAGATGAAGAGCAGCAACTAGATTTAATGAACTTGGGATTAAAATTGCAAGAAGATAAATAGAATAGAAACTGATTTTTACTAATCAAGAATGAATCAAAGGTGATTTACCCTTTACAAGTGTAAGGCTTATAAACATTAACAAATTCTTAACCATCTAATAACTATTTGTTTCATTCAACAGCGAGAGGTAGAGAAAATGAAAAAAGAGAGTTTGAAAACGTTTTACCAAGGAGGTTGAATTTTCGACGTCTTTTACTTTCACTATCAAATAATAAAAGGATCTTTTTATGTGTATTGATTTTCAATATATTTCAAATGTATATCCCTTTAGCTAATATTTAAGTTATAATTTAAATATTTTAATAAACAAAACAATCTTGTTTAGCTTTAAAAGCCGGCATTGAATTCTTTTTATGTCGCGATGAGAATAGTGGATTTTACTGCAAAATTTATTCACTTGGTAGGTAGGTTTAGTACCAAGTCCATCTTTCATGTTACTTTTGCAGTCACCATATCAAACATATTTACTGCGGTTTCCAATACCACCAGTTTAAATGATTAGCCATGTTCTCCTGCCGATTACATTCGGCAATTCATATATTTACATTATATCTTATTTCTATTATCTTAAAAATGTAAATATCCGATTATAAACATTCCTAAATGTTTTAATAAATGTATAGATATACGAATTATTTTTTATTAACTTGATAAATTTAATTGGATAAATTTGGATTATTTAATTTTATTTCTATTTGAACTTAACTTTAAAAATTATATTCAATCCATTTTCAAATTCTTAATAACTGTAGCTGGAACTAGGGGTGTTCAAATCTGGGTATCCGAAGTGTCGGCCACTCGAGTCTTCGGGTAGTTGATTTGTCGACCCGTGTCCCGACCCGGATTTTGCGGGTACCCGGATTTTTTTTTTATTTTCAAATTATTAATTTTAAAAAATATATGTATATTTAAATGTTCGAAACTTCGAATTACATACTCCAAAACATCCGGACATAAAATTTAAAAGTTCGAAATACAAAATCTAATAATCCATAATATAAATAAAACATAAAAATTCATAGCTAACTAGAGTAAATATGAATTATGATAGTCATTAACATCCAATTACTAAACTATCAAAATTTAATCCAATTATGATATTAAATTATAATCACAACCCATTTATATAATTTAATTACCTAGACTATCAAAACTTAATCCAATTATAATCCAATTACAAATAATATCAATATTTATACAAATTATCATGTTAATGGTTTAGTAATTCGATTATATATATATAAACTAACCAGTTACTCGGGTAATCGAAAAACTTAATTTTGTGACCGAGACTTGACCCGGTCGGCGAATCAGGTATTTTTGCACACCCTTGGAACTAAGTATATGTATGTGTCTCCGGGCAATCAATTACCAGCGAACGCACAACTAAGAATATAAGCACAAATATCCGCGAAATCTTACCGAATACCAGAGCAATCTAATGGAGTAACTTTAATTATAAAGAAACCAAGTCCTTCCTTGAATCACTCTCCCATTTGTATCCATAACACCAAGTTCCAGATTGAAAGGAAAAAATTAAAACAGTTTTTAGATCAAAACTATTTATTGAACACAAATTACCTATGTCCCTGTTATTTTTCATTATTTTAAAGCACAACATACAATTGCCAAATCTTTACCTTACATGGCGCCTAGTTCTCCTTGATTTACTGTGATCTTGTACATTATTAGCCTTAAAATGCCGAGTGTTGACCGGAATCTTCATGTCTTTTTGACGCAAATCCACGACCAGGTCAACAAAAGCACTTAAGATGAACTTGTGAGACTTGTTGTCATTCAAGTTCAAGTAACAAAACACGAGCTCTTCCATGAAATCCCAATCGATTTCCGAATGATGTTTCAGTCTCGCTTCCACAATTTCTTGCATGGAACGTCGGAAATCATCGTACGGACTCGGAGAATACGTTAACACCGCAATGCATTCGTTCCGGCCTGTGACACCATCACCCTCAACACCGACGTTGCTGTTACAATCGTCGGAAGCAGTAGCGTTGTTGGTTGAAGCCGACGAGGTAGAAGTTGAGCCCATGTTCTCCGAAATCGACATGGTGGTGTTGGTCCCGGCGTTGCTCCCAGCCTTGCCAACAAGCGAATTCGATGACCCTGTCGATACGAAGAACCTGTTGGGACCGAAAAGGTACGAGGGACGATCCATAAACCTCGGAGAATGAAGCAAAAACCCACCAGAGCTTCTTACAAGATGATGATCACCTTCATGGTCTTCTTCTGATCTAACCTGTAAACATCTCTTTTCGTTAACCGTCATCCTCTTCGATATACAGCGACCTGAAATTCTCAAAGAGAAAACGATCCTGTCGATACGAAGAACCTGTTGGGACCGAAAAGGTACGAGGGACGATCCATAAACCTCGGAGACTGAAGCAAAAACCCACCAGAGCTTCTTACAAGATGATGATCACCTTCATGGTCTTCTTCTGATCTAACCTGTAAACATCTCTTTTCGTTAACCTCGTCATCCTCTTCGATATACAGCGACCTGAAATTCTCAAAGAGAAAACGATCAACATCCGCAAGCGTGGCTGCATCATCATTATTATCGTCATTGGTTCCTTGATGAACGTGATTTCTAGTGGGAGTGACTGCAAAAGATAAGGTTCTGGGATGTCTGCACCCTTTGAGGATCCATTTTTTGGAAGAAGAGACTGATTTTGAAGGGAATTGAATATTTGGTGAGGTACTTTTGATTTTGGAGAGGTAATCCTGGAGAGATTTTTGAAGTTTCTTCGACATTTTCCTTTTCCTTTTCTTCAAGCTATTAGGTTTATCCAAGTATAAAAGGCCATAGCCCGATATTCACTAGATGCAGTGTAACAATATATACTCTATTTGAAAATTTGGTGAGATTTGGCAAATTAGGTAGGGTATTACTAAATAATGAGAGATTTACTCTACTCAAGATTGAGAGCAGAATTTCATAGTAGATACGAAAGACATTTTATTGGGTGGTTGTGATTTGGCTATAGATTTTATGGGAAGTAGAAAACATTCAATTGGGATTTCTCATATATAATTAAGATTTTATAGTTTACTTCCATTTGGAAAGGAATTTAAAGATGCAATTCATTCAAAATCTGCATTTAATTTGGGAGGTTTCCTTATTAATGTTTGTGGTTATTCATTTGTGAAAGTGTAATAGAAGTCCTTGTATTATATTTAAAAGTTTACTTTAGTCCCTCTATTAAAAAGAGGAACATTCCGATCCTTATATTATATCTAAAAATTCAATTTTGTCTTTCTACTATAGAAGTGACTTTTTAGTCCCGATATATTTGAAAAGTGAATATTTCGGTTCCACAATTTAAAGTTCTAGTAGACTCAAGTATTTTGGTTCAAGCACTCTTAAAGTCCCTGCCAATTTTAAAATTGAGCAAATTTGATCCTTCTTGAAAAAGAGAGAGTAGTTTATTCCATGTACATTTTAAAAATGAGTAAATAAGAACGATCTATGATGGTGTTCATCTTGTCCACCAATACATGTCCAACTGTGGTTGGATAAATTGTTAGGCAAATCCTCATCAAACTTTGCCAGATGGGTAGTGTCAGCCATGGGAGATGAAAGTTCTCGATGAAACCACCAAACGATACGATCTCAAATACTCAGCTGAATTTTCTGTAGGGGAATTGAAAACGTAATTCACGAGGATGCTCCAACTGAAAATATAGGACTACAATATGACCATGATCAAAATGCAGTTTGATAATTGGCCACTGGTTCACACGGTAAAAGGATCCTAGATTCATATATATATGTAATTATATATTTACACTCAAATAACCAACAAAGCTGAATGGAAAATCCAGTTTTTCTTATACAAGAAATGCTGCACACGAAACTGTTTCAATATCTATTCACAAGCATGACTCTGGGATACGTGAATCTTTCAGCTTTCACTCATCTCTTCCGATCCAATGCATTCGAGCTCGTTTCCAGCATCCATCGCTTCCAACTTCGTTTCTAGTAAAATGAAAACAAGTTTAAGAAACATGGTGATTTATTATTTTTCTTTTCGAGAGAGGGAAGGGAATTATTTCTGATTACGGTTTGGAAACACAAATACGGCCTTTTTTATTAAACACAATAACGGTGAAAATAAACTACGTATTAAATGTTTAAATATGATTAGCATATTATGTGTAATTTGTTTATGCTTACACCACTAATTGCAGGAGATACAGGCATCAGGCATGCATGAACTATTAGCTTATTAGCTCTGTTCGTACCTGAGGCTGAGGAGAGCAGTTTTGGCGGATGATAGTTTGATTGATTCTATGTATCACAATTTCGCATAAGACTTTTGCCTGTTGAACATCGTAATGGAAAGAATTCAGAGATTAAAATCATAAAACATGATGAAATAATATTATATTTTTATCTTTCGTGTCCGTTTTATGGTCTATGTTTAGATTCATGATAGTCTTACCAAGAAAACAAAATATTTTGGGGAAATCTAACATTACACCAAACATATGATAAGATGCAAATCTTGAAGTCTAATTTACCTCAAATTTCTGGAAGGTACCATTTTAGTACTTTGAGGAGAAGCTATCTAAAAATTAAAGCTTCAAGAAAACATTCAAATTTATAATAGACTAAGGGTCTAATTATACATTTAGTCCCTCTACAATGTTATAATTAAAGACGTAATTCCTCTATTTTCGGTAATAAAGAGAGAGTGGCAATTTACATTGCAACAAATCTTGGCCTAGTCATCTACAAATCAAGTCAAATGCAAGAATTTCCCAATATCCTTATGCTAGAGTGTCGAAATGTTGAAACAATATTTGATGAAGCACTTGATATTATATTTGTACCATAAATAGGAACAGACTATAGAGTTCTACAAAATCAAAGGTCTCAACGTACCTCTGCTTTTGCATGACTGAGATATGTTTCACAATGCAGTCGCAGAACTGCTCCATGAAATCGTAACAAGATGTTCTCTTTTGCTCCACCATAAGACCTTCAACCTGCATAACCATCCACAAATGTTAAATTTGGAGATATCTGCACTCAAGATAATTGTCGATAATCTTGCATAAATTATTAAATTCCAACTTAGTTGCACATTGATCCAAGTAATTAAAGCCTATAGTCAAATTACATGCAATGGTTCAAGTTGGGAATTATAGGTGGTTAGACCACCTAATTGCTAATGCTCATTGAAAGCAAACATCGTACCGTTGTAATCTTCTTATACTAAAAAACGTACCGTATTAAAACTCGATATAGTCGGCCAAAACAAGTAACAACTGAAGGCAACATAACTTAGCAAACAAAACTGGGGGGAAAATAACTAATATTAAAAGTTCATCACCGTTGGGCAACCGAAACTGTATACTCCAGAAAATGCCAACATAAATAAAACAAGCAAACATATTTTCTGGGGGCTTTGCCTGATGAACAATACTTTATTCTTGAAAAGTAAAGCAATAAGATCATCAAATACTAATTATTAAAGTTGGTAGTATAGACCATAGACATAAAACATCGTACATAATAATTATGAAACTCAAGTTTCAGGTTTTGAAACATCGTAAATCATTGAGCGAAAAGGGGGAAAGGCCGAATTACAGTCGAAGTAGTTACCCTGCTGTAAGCATTTTCATCGACACCGTTCATGAGAAGATCAGCAACATCTTCTTCAAATACTCCCCCCCAGCATTTCTTTTCTTCTTTATCGTCTCCAGTCTCATCTTAATCATCTTTATAGCCGATTTGTTAACCCAACAAAACATGGAAAAATCAATCAAAACAATAAAATAAATAAACCAAGGTATCAAAATTTCATGCAAAGAATGAAATAAGCAAGAAAAAATATGGGTTTTGTATGCCTAACCATTTTGAATAGAACTTCGACTTAACCACCAAGTCAAACATCTTGTGAATCAAAATTGAAAGGCAGGCTGCTTTCTTTTTTCGTTTTTATTGGAGAATGAAATGATGTGTTGAAAGAAGAGAAGATCTGTGACCAGATTTATAATAACAAAAACCAAAGAAGCAAAGGAAAGCTCTTTTTAAAAGGCAAAAAGCAATATTTTCAGATAAAAGTTCCCAGGAAAGTTATTCAGTTAAAGGGAAAGAAAATGCCAGACGATAATAAGGAGACAGGTAGTGTAAAATGGGAGTGTATATAGCGAAGAAAAAGAAGCTGAAACGAAAGGAATTTGAGAGGTTTTCTCTATTGAAGAAGAGAATAGGAAAGGTTCTGTTTAAAGACAATGTAAAAAAAAAGGAAGAATGAAGACTATATGAACTTGCGCCATTTCTAATTATCGAATATTTATATCTATACTATTATTAAAGATTTGAAGCCTATTACTATGATAGTATTATATTGACTTAACACCGATTTAATTGTAAAATAAAAAAAAATCATATTTAAATTATATAAAAATAATGAAATAATAATTTTATATGGCATCATAATAATTACATGGATATTAGAAATCCATTTTTAAAAGAATACTAAAAAAATGTTCACAATTTATTACCCTAAAAACATAATTTTGTAAAGATTATATCTATTAAAATTTAATTTGGTTGATAAACTAAAATCACATATCATTAATATTTTTAAAATTACATCTTGTTAGATTTTAATTGAGCAAATAATTTTTAAATTGTATGGATTAAAAATGTTGACAATTAATTAAAAAAAACATTTAAAATTAAGCCGAATAAAAATATTGATATTTATCAATTTAATTTTTAAAAGATCTGGTGATAATTATATGGGATAAAAATATTGATAATTATAGTTTTAATTATTTAAAAATATATATATATATATTATTTTTTAATATACATGGGATAATATTTTCAAATCTAACATGATATTATTTTTAAAATTTAATAAGGATATTAACTTCCGAATTAAATATTTTATATTGGATTTTTTATAATTTTATAATATATAATTTTACGCATATTTTTTATTTTAAAAATTAGAATATATTATTCCAAAATCTTTGTTATAATATTTTTTTCTAATGTATACGATTTAAAATGGAAGAACATTATTTATTAATGTGTAGTTTTTGTTATGTAGGTTATTTTAAACATACATTGAGGATGATTGATAGTTTTTATTTTTGATTATAAAATTGAAAATTATTTTAAATATTTTTTAGTTAATATGTAGTTTTTGTTATGCTTGTAAATCTTCATTGTAATTTTGGATATTTTTAGTTTTAATAAAATTAGTGACTTTCTATAAAAAAAACCCTTACTATATATATATATTGAAAAAAAATCCTTACTATACATTGACAATATAACTTAAAGCCCTAATTCTACTCTCTGACTCTTCATATTTATAACATGCAGACGATTGTGAAACTCAAAGATCCATCAATGGATACCATTCCTTACCAGCAAAAATGATTAACGCCCATTTTGGAAAGAAAAATGGAGGGCGAAAAAGCATTGTTACTATCACCCATGGCCAAGCGCATAAATATTAAGAATATCCATGAACAGGTCAACCGTGAATACCGATCACACATTGGTAATCACTACCAAAAACATCTCAACAGGATAATGAGAAAATGGAACAAGTAGTCTTCTGGATCCACCAAGTCCCCTCGAACCAATCTTTCTAAGTTGAGGTTTCGCGGTAAATGACCACTGTAAATAAAATAACGTTGTGATCGATGCTGCTGGCTCAGTCGCTAGCGTCATTACTTGCCTTCCTACTGACCGTAGCATCAATGGCATCAGAGACTGCAATAGATATAAGATTATCAATAGGAATGCTTGTTTTAATGGCAGATATATGCACACTTGTTAGAGCAGCTTTAATAATTATTTCACTCAAATCAAATAAATAAATAAATAAAATAGGAAAAACGAATAAAAACAGTGATTGGGAGAGTACATACATTACCATGATTTTCACTCAAATTCAATAAAAAAAAGGAAAAACAAATAAAAACAGTGATTGGGAGAGTGCATTACCGTGATTTTCACCCAGATAATAAATAAAATTGTCTTGTGGAAAAATAAAAAGGATTTTGAAGGTTTGATTTAAAGAAAACAGATTCGGTAAAGTTGGTTGATCGAAGAAGAATAGGGAATCTTGGTTGTTGATGAACAATTGATTGATTCTTAGCTATCAATCTTCAGCTAATTTTCATTAACATCGAAAAGAAGAGAATATAAGAGAAATCTCAATGAAAAATCTAACATCTAATCATGATCTCTGTTATCTATTTATAAAGATAATTACTTGCTTACAAAGTAAACTTGTATAGTAAGTATTATACTTAAAGTATATTTCATAAAATACAATATATTTCCTACTTTTAACTAAACAAGATTTTTATTTTCTTTAAATAACTTATATCAGATCCAATTTAAATTAAACTCTAACACGTTCCTAAATTTTTAAAGAGTCAAATCCGCTGCAAAACTGTTAAAGAATGGCTGCTGCAACGACTGAGAAACCCAAGCTCCTGGATGAATAGTAGAAAACCCAATGGACTGGGGCATCGATGTTTTATGGGAATGTTCTGTTGTCAGGGAACTTTTTCGATTTCATCAAACATATTGATTTAACTTCACAATCTTGTCGAGTTGCTTGTTATAACACCCATAAAGGCCTAAACAATGTGCTAACACAGTAAAATAAATACGGTACTGTCTGACACTAGTTAAGGTATCGTGATTAGAGGACATATTTTTGCTTCTCCAGGTCATTAGGAACAGCTGGGACTGCAGACTTGAGACAGAAGCCAAGCATCATATTACTTTAAAACGGAATTAGATTGTGGAACATGAGAAATCTACTTTCTCGTTAATGTAGGAAAATGGGATATTCCAACATTCACTGTCGCTTCACTAGTTCCGGTCTATGGCTTAATCTCAATCATGTTTTTCTCATGGTAAAAGAACTTGCTAGATCCAAAGGTAAAGTTTTCAAGGCTAATTTCTCAGTATTTATCCTAATTAAAGCAATATATATTCAGTGCCTCAGTGGATGAAGCGGAAGCAGAGATGCTGTTAAATGAGCTAGGAGCCATAAGGTGAACAAAAAAAAAGGGAGGGCAACACATGAGCATGTATCGTTTCCATTAAGAAGCATAGACCATTGAAAATGATCCATTGTATGACTATACGACTGGAATCTATCTGTCTTTGACTATTTTTTCTCTCAAAAGTATCCGTATCTGACATCTCTAGACATGGTATAGACGAGGCGAAAATATAAGAGGAAAATTATAAAATTTCAAAGTGATAAAAATAGATTATCAATACACAGAAAAAATAAAAAATATAAATAAATTTAAAATTCCAGGGGCGACTGCCCCTTGTTCATCCCTGGGTATAGATGTATCACCCTCCACATAAGAAAAAAAACTTCTAAAAATTTGAGAAATGTAAAGAAATATCGCATCAATCTCATCAACAAATAAGAAGTGAGAAATGTAATTAAATGAACAGTTTGACATGTTGACTGAGGAAATCAATTTATTCTGCAGTTATATCCTCAAAGAGTTCAACAAGTAAAACATAGCATAACTAAATCACCATCTTAAAAAAAAGTAAAAGAGCAACAGCGGCAAGGGAAACAAAGATACAATCATACGCGCAACAAGAAGCAAGAAGATACATTGCTTGATCAGGCTCCTCCTTCCGTAAAGGGTTCCATCCTTTACTCAGTGACATTAAGGCCAGCAATTTCCTCCTCCAATCCACAACTATTCTCCACCAACACATGAGGATCATTGTAATGCCTAACTGCTTCCACAATTCCTCGAAGACGCTTATACGGATCCAAACAGTTGCTGAACACTTCTGATCCCACGAAGACACCATCACAACCCAACTGCATCATCAATGCAGCATCTGCTGGAGTCACAATTCCACCAGCAGCAAAATGCACAACGGGCAGTCTTCCCATTTGCTTGGTTTGGGCGACCAAATCATAAGGGGCAGCAATTTTCTTTGAAAATGCGAAAACTTCATCTTCATCCATGTTATTCAAGATCCTGATTTCACTCATCACGGACCTAACGTTTTTCACCGTTTCGACAATGTTACCAGTCCCCAACAAGTCCCCCTGAGTTCTAATCATGGCAGCCCCTTCCCTCACTCTCCTTAACGCTTCCCCGAGGTTCCTGCAGCCGCAAATGAAAGGGGATCTAAAATTATGCTTGTTAATGAAATTATCTTCATCGGCTATAGCTAAAACCTCGTTCTCGTCAATGTAATCGACTCCTACTCGTTCGAGAATCTGGGCTTCGACGAAGTGGCCGACGCGGGAACGAGCCATGGCGGGGATTGAGACGGCACGTTTTATTTGTTTGATGATAGAAGGATCGGGCATGCACGAAATGCCTCGGCGGTTGGGTTCGGTGATAATTACACAACAGGCGCCGGCTTCCTCGGCAAGTTTGGCTTGGCTGATGGTCGACGCTTCGACAATGGTGCCGCCACGGAGCATTTGAGCAAGCCCTGATTTAATAGAGAATGGGCTCTTCTTGGCGTCAGTGATTGCCGTGTTGTTGTAGAGTGTCACGGTTCCGTCTTCTGCCATGGCTGCCGAATTCTTGTGGCTATGCTTCAATTGAAGTAGCGGAGGCGAAAAGTTTATTTCGGTTTCCTTTTGTTTTTGAGCTCTGCAAGTTGATTTGATGATCGGAATTTGATGAGAAATTAAAGAGAGGATGGGCTGTTGGCGTTTGGTTAGTTTGAGAAGTTTCGATGAAGATTCGTAGGTGTTGGTTCAGTTTTAGTCGGTGTGAAGAATTTTATAGAAGCTTCTCCTCCAGTTTTGGCTCCACGTTCAGAATAACCAATTCTTATTTACAGCAATACTAGTTTTTTTTCAACATTTTCCAATTACGGGGATTTCTTTTCTCTTTTTTGAAAACAAAATATAATTAGTGACATTTATTGAAAAGCATCGGTAAAATTTATAAACAGTCACAAAAGATTTTAGATTGATTTTACTTATTATTAAAATTTAAAAAATAATAAAATAGGCATTAAACTTTGAACTTTGTTAAAAAATAAATAACGGTATTAAATGTTATTAAAAGATGAATAACATACTTAATTAATAAACAAAATATCTTATTTAACTCCTCAATCATAGCTAAAATTTCATTCTAATATTTTTCAACATTTTTAAGTAGTAATTCTAAAAAATAATTTTTTTAATTATATAAAAATAAATTATTTTTAAAATTAAAAAATATTTTCAAAAAAAATCAGTTATTAAGCAATAAAATTAATTTTTTTATTAATAAAAAATTATTTTATAACTAATTATTTATTTAATTATTTTTGTTTTTTTAAAATAAAAAATTTATAATTTTCAACGTTCACAAATTTATATTACTATCAAATAATAAAGTTATTTTTTTATTAATAATGTGATTAAAACATTTAACTTTTAGTTAACAAATTTAAATCTAATTTAAAAATCATACATCTATAATTTTATGATATCATATCAAATAATTTTTAATTTATATGGTACAAATTTAATATTTATAATATAAAATTAAAAGATGATTTTTATTTTGTCTATATCTATTTTATTTTCAGTTTAATGAATCTAATAAGAATTATTTCAATTAAAATTAGGAGTAAAATTAAATTTTAGCTATATATGAATGGTCATATTAGATATTTCTTAATGGTTTTGTGCCCGTTTTGTAACAAAGTTAAAACTTAATATTCATTATATAACTTTTAAAAGTCAAATGCTCAAAAAGATAATTTTGATTTAGTTTAATGACCATTTGTAAATTTTACACTATAAAATTAGTGATGAATTGCTATGAATGACATACATTATAGAATTTTCCTTCATTAGACCATTTAATTCACCCACTATATAGTTGTATTATTTATTTTTTTGTATGATCACCATTATCCTATCTATTGATCGACTAATTCGGATCGGGTAAAGACAAAGGCTACCCTCCCAACCCAGTTTACTCCATTCATAATCTCCAGGATTCGAACTCCTAACCTTGCTTAAGTGATCTAGTTTCTCATCCCACTAGATCAGCCGGTTGTTTATATATAGTTGTATTATTCTTATTTCATTATTTAGCATATTATTTATACTATTCCGTTTGATTTATTTTGTTACAAGTTTATTGTTTAATTGATCTATCTAAGAATATATACTATAAAAATAAATTATGTTCTATTTGAGAATTTAAATTTTATTTATATAAATTATAAAAATAAAATGTATATAATATAAAAGGATAAAATAATATTATTGAATGTTCGGACCTTATTAGAATTCTCCCAGATTGGGCTGCGCTACGCCGAACGGTTGTTGTTGATAGCCTACTTTCAAATTAAACCCAATTTATATTAAACCTATTAATATTTTAAAATCTAATTAATTTTAAACTAAATAAAATATATCTAAGTTAATTAAAAAATATATAAACTCCAAAATTATTTGGAAAGAATTTTTTTTCTAAAATATAAACCTAATTAATTTTATGTTTGTTGGTTAATTTCCGTTCATTTACGTCTGTGCATTTGTGTTCGTTTATTATTTTAACAAACAAACATGAACGAACGCAAGCAAACTACATTAATTAATGAATGAACACAAAAAATAAATTTCGTTCGTTTAATTGTTCGTGTTCTTTTGTTTGTTCGACTAAACTTAAATGAACAAACATGAACTAACCCAAATTCATGTTAGTTTGGTTAGTTTATGAGCTAAAACATTCGAATAATGGGTGGATTCATTTTCTTATTTGATGATTTCTATTCAAGAAGGGGCAGGGAAGGGGAAGCTTTGGATCGAAGCGTCGAAGTTTTTATTGCGATATAAATAAGTTAAGAGTTAGGACTTGGGAGATGAACGGAATATTGGGGAGACGGACAACTGCGGCGGAGTTACAGGTGCACCATCAGAGGCAATATTCTGATAGTTTCTCCTAAACAATGTCGAATGGAAGATGGCTCCGGTCTGCTGGTTTTCAGCGTCTTCATTCTTCTAACAACCGTCTTCCTCCTCTTCAGGTTCTCGCAGATTCTTTGTTTGTGGTCTTTATCTTCTTCTTCTTTTTAATTTGGTGTACGTTTGGTCCCGGATAATGCGCGGGAAAATGTGCGCAATATGAAAATAGCAATGTCCTTGATTCATATAGAATTGATATATTTAGTAAGAATAAACTGACAATCTAATTATGTAGTTTTAAGTCTTCAACCTTCCATTCATTCTTGGGAAAGGAATGCCTTCCACGCCACAACAACTGCAATCACATAGTTATGGCCTCCCTCTCCTTTTCTCACTCCGTAAACAGCAACAGAAACAAGCATGCATTCCCTTTTTGCCTTATCTTTCCATTTATATTTCCCGATTCATTCTTATCCTTTCCTTTCCAGATCTCTCGTCGGCGCCAACCATACCTCCGCGCGTTTCTGCTCCCGTTAATCGCTCCTCCATTTTCAACTATTTTTGTTCTTTCCATTTTCCATTTTCCATTTTTTGTTGATAAAAATTCACAACTCAAACAGCGAAAAAAAGCAGTTTTTATTTTTTTCGTCTATATCATTATTGTTATCATGGAACCTGTTACAGGGAAGCCGAGCCTTTTCCGGAATATTCTGGGCCGTGCTCTTCTTTTCGGTGTTTTCATCTTGGTCCTCCGATTCGCATACGTGGTCACAATCACTGGCGAGTCTTGCAATCGAGGTGACTTCTGCTTCTTCTCCATGCGGCAGAGTATCAACCTCGTTATCCCTGATGGAGTCTCTTCCATCGTTGTAAATGACGCCGTTTCACGGTCCGATCCTCGCCGGGAACTCTACACCAGCAAGGAGTGGATCAGGGCAGTCCATTTCTACTCTTCGGTTTTCCAAGATCTGATCACCGATGGTTACCTCTCGCCTCACTCCAAGTCTCTCTGCGTAGAGACTCCTTTAGGACAAGAAGTTTTCGCCTTGAAAGAGATAGGCGTGGTAGATTCCATCGGTATTTTCAAGAAAGCGAACAAGCCTTTGGTGATTAAAGGCGAGGGGCATAAGATGCCGTTCCATGATAATACTTTTGACTTCATATTCACCGGTGGTGACCGCCTCGATGCATCGGCTCGTCCGTCTGATTTTGCAGCGGAAATCGCTCGGACACTGAAACCCGAAGGCTTTGCAGTAGTCCACATCAAGGCAAATGATACATATAGTATGCATTCTTTGCTTGATTTGTTCAGTTATTGCAAATTAGTTAAAATGCTTGATATGGATGGTTTCGTTTCATCAATGCCTTTTGTTAGAGAAATTGTATTGAGAAAAGATACTGGATTTCTTAACCATGGGGGCAAAAAGATTCCTCATGGTATTTCTGGTAATAAGTGCTCGGTTCCGGGGCATAAACGAGAATTAGTCGAGCAGGCAGAGCCGCTTATTGAGGAGGAGCCTTTGAAGCCGTGGATTACCTTGAAAAGGAATATAAAGAATGTGAAGTATTTGCCATCAATGGTTGATATCAGTTACAAGAATAAATATGTGTATATTGATGTTGGTGCTAGGAGTTATGGTTCTAGTATTGGAAGCTGGTTCCGGAAACAATATCCCAAACAGAACAAAACCTTTCATGTCTATGCTATCGAGGCTGACAAGCATTTCCATCAACAATACGATTTGAAGAAGGCGGTTACATTGTTGCCTTACGCTGCATGGGTAAGGAATGAGACGCTGCGGTTTGAGATCAATCGGGATCCTGGCCAGGAAGAAGTGAGTGAGCTTAAGGATAAAGGAAGAGGGATGGGCAGAATACAGCCGGTTAAATCGAGCGGAGGCGAGGTGGATGAGATTCAAGGGTTTGATTTCGCAGAGTGGTTGAAGAACACCGTGACAGAAAACGATTTTGTGGTGATGAAGATGGACGTCGAAGGAACTGAGTTCGACTTGATTCCTCGGCTATTTGAAACAGGTGCAATCTGTTTGATTGACGAGATCTTCCTTGAATGCCATTATAATAGGTGGCAAAGGTGTTGTCCCGGTCAGAGGAGTCCCAAATACAAGAAAAGTTACGGCCAATGCTTGCAACTCTTTACTTCACTCCGAGACAGCGGTGTTCTTGTCCATCAATGGTGGTGACTGGTGAGACTGGCAAGTCATTCGTTTTTAAATTGGATGTAGCTGTAAATCAAAAATTTCCATTTAGTTGATTGTTTCATTGTTCCTGCTTGCTTGTATTCATAGTTTGCACATTTAGACCTGCAAGTGCAAAGTATATATACAATGTTAATCATAGAAAAGGAATGGTATGAGAAAAGGCAGCTATTTTACTTATTTTTCCTGTTTTTTTTATTTTTATTTTTTTATATGCCATTTTACTGAAGCATAAATCGGTTTTCCATGCTTTTGAGACGCACATGGAATAGAGCTGTAAATCTTTTGGGGGTTTATTCAACGTACATTGTAACATTTACAGGAGATGGACCTGCTGGTTGAAGCAGACCGACCTGGCCCAACTGGACAACTAAACATCTAGATTGGATGTCATTCTTTCGCAGAAGGCCGATGACATCGTTCACTTACAATCACGATTGGTTTATTTCCCGAAGTGCTTAAAAGGGCATAACATTATAGCATCTTGTTCTGGATATTGATTTACAAGGATGAAGATAATATGTCAAACTAGTAATTCGACTTCTCCCTAAACACATTGCTAAACCATGGGTTTGTTGAAGCCTTTTTATCCTTCTTCATTTTTATGTTTTGTAAGGAAGGACGCAGCAGTTTGCTGGATGATTCACTGATTGATATGGAACACCATTCCCTTGTTTCTTTTCAATATACTGCCTTCAAGTAATATCAAAGGGAGTGATGGATTTACATGCCTTTCGGCATGCTTTTGTAAAGTTCTACAGCATTGCAATATCGTAATGTTATACATTAGCTTACAGGAAACTAACTACATTAAGGGAAGGAGCTATAATTAAATATTGATAAGGGTCGAAATATTACACTATTTAAGAAAAATATAAAGACTTATTAGGTATTTAAATTCGAAATTCAGCATGAATCAAGCGACCTTAGAGATTAAGAGATTGTTTTATCCTTGAGGTCCCGAGTTCAAGCACGTATGTAGGGGTATGAGCGTTATTTGTCAAATAGTTGAAAGTCTTTGTATAAATATTATTTTGTATTCGCCCTAAATTAAAAAAAAAACTCAAAAGACAACTTCTAATTCATCTAATATTTAAACTTACAAGGACTTAAATTATAATTAAACCAAAAAGTTGAGAACACAAACTTATCATTCTTTAATTCAACCCATACTTGATTAAATATTTAATAAATATTTTTTTTAAATTTAAATATTTATTTTTACATGAACCAAAATACTATTAAATCAAAATTATATAAAATATATAAGTTCCATAAGGGAGCTCCGTCCCTCTACATTTGATTAACATTCATAAACTATAAGTTGAACTGTTTTTATAGTTACTGGAATTAATGGCCTCAGTCACTGTGTTCTTCACATCCAAAACTCAAAAAAAAAAAAAAATCTCATGATGCCAAAGGCGCGCTGATTGACATTAGTGACTCAAACACTCAATCTGTGTGATTCAAGCAAAGTTCATTCAAACCAATATTTGATAATATTTTACGAACAACATGCAAATATACATTTCTTAAATCTTGATATGAAGCTTCTATGCTTTTACTGATAACAAGGGATGCTCAAGCAAATTTATAACAATAAAAAAGGAGCAGAAGAATTCAGACGTGTGAACACACACACACAAAACAAGAAAAAGAATATTTAGGATGAGAAAACGGATTCATTTGAACAAGAAAATGTATGTGGGAGTCAAGGATCTATAACTGAATCGTCCGACGCTTCGAACTGTTGATTCTGGCAGGGGCCTGTGGAGGAGAGAATTCAGAATAGATATCCATGAAGAATCTGTCGACAATGGAAAGGTAGACCGGACTTTTAAGCCGAGAATAATAGTGGAGTGCTTCTTCAACATCCAATACATGTTCCATATCATCAACATCCATCATCTCCAGTTCTTTCAACTTTTGAGCCAACGCAAAACTCCCATCTCCATTCCTCTTGTAATAGTACTGTTCCTCCCCTTTTCTCAGTTTTGAGCTTCTCACTTTCTTTTTCCCTTCTTTTCCTCCAGTTTCCTTTATCTCCTTCTCCGGACTTGTATCGGGATAGTTCATCAAGCTCCCGTTGCATTCAGCTTCGTCCCTCATTTGTTCTTTCAATGACATAGCAATGATGGCATCGTTAGTCATCACCTCTGATTCCTCAAGACCAACTACCCAGTTGTAGCTAAATTCGCCAAATGATCGATCTTTTCGGTCTTTCTTCCTGCTGCAACCACTGCAAGAGAAGGGGTCTGGGAGAATTGGTTTGGATATCTTCTGGTATCCTACGGAGAGGAAGGATTTAAGGTTGTCAACTGATTTGTGGAAAAAGTTCTTGGTATTTTGTATGGATTCCATAACCAGCATTACTTGCCAATTGCCAGTAGTCTTTTTTTTGTATGAAGAGGCTTGTATATCTCTTTGGTGTCCCTATCTGCAACTAAAGACACAGCTCTAGTATTTTTCTTCTTCTCCAACTCGTGTGTCCTATATATAAGAGATGTTTCTTAAAGTTTACCCACAAACATAGCTTATATTACTCGGGTATGTATTCGGATACGAATGCTTCAAACAAAAGTGAAGAATTCAAGTAACACGATACAAAGCTAATGGAGCCCAAAGTGGAACTTTGTTCCTTACTGCTAGCACTTTTCCTTGCTTTTTTCCTTCAACCCTCGTATATTTGGGGCTAAAAAGATTACTCGAATGAAAGTTAAAGTTTGAAGAAATTGAGGTCTTAGGAATCTAATGATAGCAAATGTTTTTGTTGCTGACAATTTGTTGTGTAAAGTGGCAGTGCTATTGAATATGATTTAAAGCAAAAGGTAACCGGTTGGGTGAAATGTAACTGATGAAATCCACATTTACAACTGCTACAACCTATACGTTAGCAATGATGCCCCAACTGAAGGACCCATAAATGGAACATTGCTTCTTCTTTCTTTTTGTTGAATTTCACAACAATCAACCTCATATCAACATCGTAATTGACGCTGCATCTCTTTAATTTAAGAGTTTCTGGTGTGATCATAATTTACCATTTCATCATTTACCAGCTCTTCCTTGTTTTAATAGAAGTACGTTGATCTTACTCCTCATTTGTTCTCTTTGTAAGATGTTCTTCACCTGTACCTTACGAATTCAAACCCAGAATTGTTTGAAAATCCAAATGGTTCCTAGAATCCGAGGGCAAAAACCCAAATAAACAAAAGGAGAAAAGCAAAAGCAATTAGATATGGTTAAAGGAAAACTTTTGACCCCATTTGTTAAGGTTTACATTCGCCCATTTAGATGCTTAAAGCTGAAGCCTTAGGCTACAGAAATTCGTCATATCTTTCAACTTTGACATTTTTCTTTTCATGTTCTTATCTTAAAGGTTATCTCCAAACAAAAAGAAAAATAGTTCACCGGACTTGAAAAAACTATTTATTTTATGTTAGATTTCTTAAGACAATCTGTATCGGTTGAATTTTAACAACCGACTATCTTATAAATATGATTATGATTATGAATATATAGAAACAAAATGATGTTCAACAATGAATAAACCACACAGCTCACATTGATCTTTAAACTTAAACTTATTAAATGATTTGTAAATTTAAATGTCCGGACTATATTTAAAATATTAGACTCCATGAAACTATTTTTAATTAATTAATATAATAAAAAAATATGATTCATAAAATATTTTTAACGTATTTCAAATTCTCACGAAATTAATTTATTATCAATTAATCAATTTTTTAAAATAAATACTACTATAATTACTTTAAACTTTTTTTAAAAAAAAATATTTGAACAATATTCATTATGACCAACCCAAGCTAACTATTGGGTTTGAGTATAGGGCGCGAAACTTACGATGAAGAGGCCCATTCAAGTCCAAGTGCGCCACGTCTCAACCATAAAAAAAACCCTTGTTTTGCGCCATCTCTTCTGCTTCCAATTGGTTTTATTAGAAATCATATATTCTCCGCCGCTCACTTCCTCTAGAGCCACTTAGGGTTTATCCTGCGTCAGTTTCAATGGTAAATAGATATCGAACACTCATTTTGTTTCCTTTTTTATTACAACACTTGATCTGTTGGGAAACTTGATAACGAAATAAAAATATCAATGTGCAGGGAAAGGGAACAGGGAGTTTTGGTAAAAGAAGGAACAAGACCCACACCCTCTGCGTTAGATGTGGCCGCCGTAGCTTCCATCTCCAGAAGAGCCGTTGCGGTGCCTGTGCTTTCCCTGCTGCTCGTAAGAGGAAATGTAAGTTTTCCATCCACTTTTTCTTTCATGTCTAGAACATTAGTTTTGGTTTTGTTGTTGTTTACTTTTGTTATCAAGTCTCCTCCTGCAACTGCGTTTCTTTGATTGATTGTTTGGGTTTGTTTCCTTATGTTTTCTTAAATTAGCTTTATCATTTTTGTTAAGAATATGTATTTATGATTTATAGGCTTATTTTTTTTTTGGATAATTAGATTATTATTACCCAATGAAAGCAGTAACTGCTTCAAATCCAATACAAACAAACTAGCATGAAAAAGGGGTGTCAAGATACACAAAAAATCATACTATACCCCAAGAATTACAAAGAGAAAGATTAGTTATATCCAATCTATTGACAACCCTATTGCTAAGTTGTATTACTACAGTCTTTTTGATTGAGGCCAGAATCTCGTCTTCGGATCTGTAGGTTCCTCGAAAAAGTCTTCGATTCCTTTCTTCCTATATTGTATAATTGAGAGTGCACCAAGAAAGCTTCAATATACTAGTAAGCAAGGACTTGCCTTTCCATGTGTTATATGCCCAAGTAAGCAGATTAGTCCAGGTAAGAAGAGGTTTATGAATACCTGTGAGCTGAAGAATAGAATTCCAGATTGAAGCAGTTGCTTTACATTCAGCAAAGATATGGTTTCTGGATTCCCTTGCTTCGGAACAGAGGATGCACATATCATTAGTTTCAATTCCAAACCGTAGCAGCCTATCCTTTGTAGGAAGGCGATCCAAGATAACCATCCAAGAGATTAAGCTATACTTGGGAATGTGTAATGAAAACCAAATCAGTTTATGCCATGGGACTTTACCGTTTTTCTGTCGAACCTCTTCCCAAATCAGTTTGGTAGTCACAGCTCCGGATGCAAGAAGAGGTCGAGCAGTTGCTCGGAGTTTCATGATTTTCCTTAGGATCCAGCTTGAGTTCTTCGGTTCTTCCATGTGGGAATAATATGGTTATACAAATTTGTTTGAGCAGTGTCAATGGATTGTGATTTGGTTTTAATCTGTAAATCTAACTGGAATTACTTTGTTGTGGGATTCAGATAATTGGAGTGTGAAGGCAATCAGAAGAAAGACCACCGGAACCGGTAGGATGAGGTATCTTCGCAACGTTCCTCGCAGGTTCAAGACTGGCTTCAGAGAAGGTATCTAGATTTTAATTTCTTATTATTGTTGCGATATAGATTTTATGTATCTTTGAACTGTGAACATAGTCTGTTCTATTTGGGGTATTCTCTTTTTGTCAGTATTTTCAATTTTGTGTTGGATAATGGTATAGGTACTGAAGCAGCACCAAGGAAGAAGGTTGCTGCTGCTTCTGCCTAAAGTATCACTAGGTTGTTTTGAATGAAGCCATCTTTGTTAGGAAACATTTTATGAGAACTTTACTCGAGGAGTGTTGTTACTGTGGAACACTATAGTTGTTTTTAGTTTATTTTTAAGGAGATTCTTTAAATTTTGAGCAATGATGAACGAGCCAATTGTTGTTTGACCCTTTGATTACTCGATACATTTTGTTGGGTGAAGTTATTAATGTGTGTTGTTTTGGTTAAGATGCCCTAATCTTGTTTAAAGATAGTTGAAATTTTTTGAACATTGGATTTTGCACATTGTTATCTGGCTGCATTTGTATACAAATATTGTGGTCAGTTCAGTTGATTCAAGCTTTAGAATTGTATCTTGTTTACAGTGAGGTCTAGCAAAGAAAAGTATGAATTGTGTATGATGCTTAGTCTGCTACAATGTCTTCAAAGTATGAATTGTCTATGATGCTTAATCTGCTATAATGTCTTAGTGTCTTTTGCACAAGCTTAGTAGTTAGTAGGGATGGGCACAGGGCGAGGCGGGTCTGGTTTTTGGTCGCCCGCCCCGACCCGAAAACATATATGTAAAACCAGACCCCGCCCCGTGCCAAGATATTTTGATTTTTTTCCTGCCTCGAAACTGTCCCGATTTTTAGACTAAAACCCCAACTCGACCCGAATATATTAATATTTTAAAAAATGATTAAAATAATATATTTTAACATAATATATTTATAATTGTTTATTATATTTAAATTGTTAAATTAATATATTTTATAATATTTTTATATTTTTAATAATTAAATAATGTATTTTAATAATATAAAAATAATTTTTTTAAATATTAATTATAATATATATATATATAATAACTAGGTCGGGTCGGTGATTTTTCACCTTAAACTCAGTCCCGCTCTGATCCGAGCCTCGAAAATAAAAATAAAAATCGCACCTATCATGTCTAATTAGGTTGGGACTCGTAGGGTTCGAGTATTTTGACCATCCCTAGTAGTTAGTGACCTCTTGGGGCTATGTCTACCATGAATGCCAGACTGAAGTCATTGATGTTGCGATAAATGCTACAACAATCACGCAAGCAAGTATTCAAGTAGTAAACTGTATTCTACAAAAGGATTGGATGTTGAACTCACAGAGAGTGAATGTCACAAAAGAGTTGTAATGACACGTATCAAAGAGATATATGGTTGAAATGATAAAGAAACAAAAAGATGAGAAATAATAAAATCAGAATGAACTTATCAGGTAGTGCAGTAGCATTCAATAGAGCAATAGATCAAGAGTTTAGTAAATGCTGCTATCATTTGACTGTTCTTATTATGTTAACGTCGTGGTAGTGTATTCATGTGACGTGCTATGATGAACACTACTTAATTATTTAGACTATTTTCACCAACACTAATAATTAAATAGGTTACAAAAACGACTATTGACAGCATACGTTTTCATATGTTAAACTTACTTTCGCAAATACTAATGCTGCAAGAGTATAGTTTGCAAAACCAATAATTTTTATTTGTAAAAACCATTGAAATCACATACATAAAGATAACTTCATTTCTAAAATTCTCTCTTTAGAATTACAACACAAAAAAATAAAGCCTAAGCATAAAACATAATAAGAAACACTTCATCAAACATGTTATGTTCAAAGCTAAATTATATCTAAAATGAAGAAATATTCGAACTTAATAATCGTTACTTCCTTCTCTTAATCAAAGGAACGAAAATAAAGTAGAATCCACTTTATCGTTGCTGCTACAAGATATCTCTCAACTCTACTACATATCTCGACAGAGGGTTTAGGCAATCATGGCTTGGATGATAAAATTTATGAAAGAAACTAATTGGTCAAGAAAAAGGATTGTGAAAAGTGTGACTTCACCCCTCCTTATATAGGCTGAAATAGTCAATCCTTCAGTCAATAGGAGTAGCCCACAAATATCAATATAAATGGTTGTCTCTTGTTCCCATAGTCAAATGACAATTGTCCTGATAGAATCACAATTCTAAAAAAATTTATAATCGTCTGATGACTCAGTAGTTGCTACCAATTGCTACCAATTTTGCACAGCAGTTCGACGCAACATCGCATCACAACATCACCTACAGTATAGAGTATTGTCACAGTATTAGCGTATTATATTTCAACACAAAAACAACAAAAATAGCTCAAGTTCCATTAATTACCCCATAACACAAATGATGTAAAATATGATAAAATAAATTTAAAATGATCCTAATATGATCCTAATGATGCAAAGATTCAAGCTTAACCTAACCTAGGAGCCATAGATCTAAGTGTACCGAAGCATATGCTAGCTATTTAGGGTTTTGTTCCTCCCTTAACTCTCTCTCTCTCTCTCTCTCTCTCTCTCTCACACAGGCGGCCCTGTAACCCATTATTCGATACATTCTGTGTACACGGGCTCATGTTAATTCAAAATGGTGTATGTAACTCTAGATTAGACGTTGTTCTGTTTACACGTACCATATTGATACTTGCTCTGATTCCCAGAATGGGTTTTGGAATAGTTTTGGACGATAAAATAAATTGCTGTTGAGATTGAAATATAATCATTCCTTCCACCAGAATTAATGGAATTAAGAGAAACATTTGTGGGAGGATTAGTCACTGTTCACTTGGTTATCGAAAGGAAAGATATAAAATATTCTTAAAAAATAAACTTGTAGACGTTATATAGTCCTTCAGCATTTGTTTCTAGGCATTTAACGAGGCGTCGTTCTGATTATTAAAAGCAGTAAAAGAAAATGATGACTCTCTTACTACGTCGCAATTCATGGTGAGAGCAGGAGTTAATTCATGGTTAAAAAATGGGCGGAGTGGGAATAAGTGTGAAAAAAAGATATGATAAAGAACATAGTAATATTTTACGTTTAATATAATTTAAAATATTATTTTTACAATATTTTCAATTAAATTAAAAATATGATCTTCTAATAACATCTTTGATTAATAATAAAAAATATTACTTTTTTTCATATCATTTTAAGTTAATTTCAGTTATCAATCGAAGATATTTTTTTATAACATTTTAAGATCAATTTCAGTTGTAAGATATTATTTTAAATTTAATAAAAAATGTTAAAAAATCATAACATTTTAAATTCTCTCTAATTTAAAATATTATTTTTTATCATATTTTCGATAAGCAAATTTTTTAACCTTACACTAGCTTATCATAACGCAGAACTAACCATTTTTTAACCTTTTCTGTTCCCCATTCTTGAATCCGAGGTTCCTATAAAACTTTCTTTCGATCAGAAAAAGCTTTTTTTTTTATTGATATATCTGAAATATTTTGAAAATTTCCATGGAAGGACGAGAAACCACGGGGTTATTTGACAAGATCCTCCCTCCACGCCTGGAAGACGCAGGCCTCGAGGAGTGCGCTCTTCCGCCAGATTCCATTCAGGAGGCTTTCCTCAAAGCTGCTTCCGTCGTCAAGTCACGTGCGGCCACCTTCTTCCATTCTGATGATGAAGATGAAGTTGAACACGGATGCCTAGACGACCCGCTCCCCGACAAGGGTAAGTGCTTCTCCGATATTCTTATTTCGCCGCCATATACAGACATGCCTGATGCGGTATTGGTTGGCGGAGGGTCACTGGATCCAACCTCGGACGCGGTGGACGGCTGCGTGAAGGAAAAGGGATGGGGTGAAGGTAAGGATGTGGTGATTGTGGGTGGTGATGACGGAGAAGCCATGGTTGGGAAGGGGTTGTTTAGATGATGAGCTGAAGGGTTTGGAGATTGGAGATGAAAAGAAAAAGAAGGGTGAAAAGCAGGATGATGATGACGAGAGGGAGGAGGAAAAACCAATTCTGGTTGAGGGTCTGGTGTAAAATCCTCCTGCAAGCTTGATGTATTCCTCTTCTTTACAGTTTTTTTCTTTCCTTTTGAACGGTTTAACGGATCTTGCTGCCGTTGTTGTAGTAATAGAATAAAGCAGTTCTTATATTCACTAATTCTACTTTCTGTTTTTTTTTTTTTTGAAAAAAAAATGCAATTAGGGAACGTAGTTTTGAATGGTCCTAGAAAATTTGGTTAGGTGGGCTCCTTTCCTTACAATTCATGTGAATTGCTTCATAGTCCATGGTATATGGGTTGCCATTTATCTGAAGTAGGGTTTGGGGTTTGAATGACAAATTTCTCTAAATTATGAAAAGAAATGACAGAGGGTTTGTTGTTGTTGTTCTTTGTTGTGTTGTTGCTTTAACAATAATTTCCATACGCATCAATTAGTCAAATTAATACAATCAGATTATTAGTTTTAAAACTTTCCAACGCCCTCACTATGTATGGAAGAATATCTGGACCTAAAAAATTTATCGTCTATTGTAAAAAATTAAGAGCCCCTTTATTCCCTATAATTTTGGGAGGCCTTGAGGGCTGCCATAAAAGTTTTTAGGTAATCTTCACTGTATATTCCCTATAATTCATCTTTGGCCGCTTGATCTCTGGGTCTCACTTGTTTGTTAATGAAGGCTGCTAGTTCCTTTGACCCAGATTTTGTCGAAACTTTGATCTGTAAAGCACAAAAAAATGGATTACTATCCGGTGCTAAACAAATAAGAGAATAGAAATGAAGTGAATTTTCTTAACAGTTACCGGATTGTCTTTGTCACCGGCTTTGTACAAAAAGAGTGACGGGTAGTCATCGATCTGGAATGATAAACAATGTCGAGTAAGAATCACACCTTACAGTCATCAATGTATAATCCATGTTGAATGTGACGGAAAATAACAAAAGGATTCCGCGTGTGACTAATGCGTTTCCTTGGTTTTCTACCGACACTAAACTAAGAACCATGAAGTATATGAGAGCTAACACACCCAAAAAAAAGAACAATTTAATCAGAAAAGCATGAAAGATGTTTACTTGATACACAACACAAGTATCTTGTTGGAGTTTCAGTCCAACTGCGGAAATGAATGTCGAACATGGTAACTGACTCTCATTTGACAATCAAGCTATCTTTTGGAGGTAACTAAAAAAGGGTATTCAGAATTAAGGCATAGGAAGCTGACTGATTGCTTAGAAAAATGCATACCCGAAGTTTGGGATGTTCATTAGCAGAAGCATCAATCTTCGCAAAAACTAGATTGTCCAAACCTTTAAATTGCTTAGCCAATTTCTCAACCTGCTTGCTTGTGGTATCACAATTGATGCACCATGGTGTATACACCTGTTTTGCAACAATGAAATAAGACCTTTTTAGAGTGAAGGGTATATTACACAACAAACTTCACTTTTGATTTAAATTAATATATAGGCAGGTGATATAGTTAAAATGCTGCATATTACTACCATCAACTAATCGTGTATCCAAAAATATAAGAGTAAGGGGCATTGATGCCACGTGTGCAGTGAATCCAGTCATCCTGTATTTTCTTTTTTCTTTTCTTGAAAGTTGTATTTTCTTTTTTTAGATGCAGCTCTAATGGGATTAATTAGCCTGCATATCTCATTGGCATATGCTAAAAAAAGCACGGAAGGTCCAGAAGATTGATACCTCTAAAAGAACATTCTTGGAACTGTTCAACACCAAGTCATCGAATGTCTTTCCCACGACAGCTAGTACACTTGCATTATTCTGCAAATTTCATAACACAAAAGTTCATTAGGAGTCGGAAATGTTAGAATATATATTAAATTCAAATTTCAGGAGCTCAGATGGAAGATATCTTTCGGATGTGCATAGAAAGGAACTTCTTGCATCGACATGATGCAAACGATGACACTCACATTTTATTTTTGTCATTTCGTCAACTTTCACAAGAACTGATGGAATTACAGAACTACAACATTCAATGCATGGAAAAATTTTGACAGCATTCAAATTTTTGGAAGAGACTCAAAAGCGTATAAGCAGATTCAGAAATAAATTATAGTTTCAAACAGAAGACAGCAATGACAAAGCAGCTGAGCCTAAATCATATCCGTCAAACAATATGCAAGAGAAAAGAGAGGCAAAATAAAGTTTGACACTCACATTATCTGGTATTGGCTGTGATTTAAAGTATGTTGAGATAGAACCATCCAGAAGGCCCAAACAAAACTCCTGTAAAGGCCAATTCAGAACACCATATTAGTTTTCGGAAGAGATAGCTCCTTAAAGGTGAAATCTATAGAGCTGAATCGTTACTTCAATGTTGCTTGGGGTTGGATCAGACTGCAACAAGTACTTCGAGGTGCCTTTGTTATCAAATGCTGTCACCTATCATGCAAACAGAAATAAATTGCATCAATTTTAGGTTCAGTCAAACTCTTCGAAATAGATACATAAGATAGTTAAAACACTATCACTATCATTTAAAAGAAAGAAAAGCTCACAAAAGTGTTCTTTGATTCCTCAAGCCCAAACAAGGTCAAGAAGGGCTTTGCAAGGTTTTCATCCATGATGTCGATATAAATAAACATTAACTGCACCATAAGAGAAAAAAGAAAGCATGAAGCTAGTCATACCAAAATATCAGACTGTCAAGCAGTCAATCTAAATACCTTTGTTATGAACTTTCTAGCAACGTCTTGAAGAGGCTCAAGAAGAGTCTTGAAATCATCAGCTTTTGCAAAGACATATACCTGATGGATAAGGCATGGTAAATTCAAGATACTACTTTAGTTTCCAAGAGATACAGTGAAAACTTTATTCAACTGTATGAAGGCCAAAATATGCAACCACAAACGGAAAATAAAAGATAAAAGAAAGGGTACATATCAGAAAGTTGACCCATATTGACTTCTGTATTATTGTCTCATCTTAATTAGTTTCTCAGTACATTATACTAAAATTCAATGATAGTCATTGTTCCAGTTACGCCCAAATCAACTCATCAGGATAAATGATGTAGTAAAACTAACCAAATTGTAAACAAAATTTTACATATACACTGGAGAAATTTTCAATCACTATGCAAAACCTAAGAATTTTACAAACAATCCCATCTGCAACCAATACCTTCACTGCTATACCAGTGCTTTGAATAAGTTAGCATTTGGAAAAAGAAATATGAAATGTTTATACACAGAAAGGAAAAGAAAATGGAAACCCTGATCATAGTAAACAATCAAAGGTAATGACAAGAAGCATGGAAACCTGTAGCTTGACAGGACTGGAGTAAACTCTGACTGAATTTAGTTCAGTCAATTTAGTAACCAATGGAAATTTGTTGTAGTCCAGAAACTGCAAAATGTTCACCATCTCAAAAGTACCTTCTGCAAAACCAGACAGATGAGTTATTAATCTAGTCAATGATTCTGGTTGAGAGATATATGCAGTCAAAAAAAAAAGAAGGCAAGAACAGAGAAAGTCATTAGGCCATAAGTTTACAGTCACTGATTTATTAAACTTTATTAATAAAGATACATAAGATTTACAATAACAAGATAAAACCCTTACAAACAACCTAAAAACCCAAAATAAAATACCCCAACAACAAAGTAAAATTAACCAATACCAGACTTAGCCAACCCATCAGCCTCATTATTGGCTGTCCTAGCCACCCATCTAATAACTCCCTCGACTTCTTTGAGTTTAACAGCTACCTCCCTAACAATGGAGGCATAGAAAACAGGACAACAAGATCCATTCTTAATCCAATCCACTACCATTTTACAATCTGATTCTATAATCAACCGACCCTTAATACCTCCTCTCACTGAGTGAAAGAAATTTAAACCCTCCTTAACAGCCTTTAACTCCTTAACAGTCACTGATTCAAAATTTCAAAGTTAAAATAATTTGCATATTCACATATGAGCCACTCAAATAAAGGAGAAGGAAAAGTAGAAAGTAAATAACTAAAAAATCATTCACAAAAAGCAGTTTTCCAGATTATGAACTCACCATAAGCGGTGTATCTTTCGGGTTCAGTTTTAACAATCCCAAGGAAATTAGTAGCTTTAATACCAGGGTAGAGAACTTTTGCAACCTCAATGTTGTTTGTTTCAGAAAACTGGATTTCATTGTCAGACATTGCTGCCTTTACAAATTCTTCATAATCAGATCCCTGAAAAAAAAGCATGATAATTAAATTCCGCAAGTGCATCAGCAAATTCAAGACACTAGAAGACAATGTTAAATATATTAGTCATGCACCTTAGAAGATGGTGGTGTCGAAGATATATCAAAACAAAGGATAAACAATATGAATTTGAAAGATTCAGAAGTCTAGAATTGTGGTCCCACTTGACATCAAAGTGATTTAGCAAAAAGAGTGTTTGTAAATGTAGTCATCATCTGAAAACAGAATTGAAACTAGGTTTTTTGGGAATCAAGTGTTTAGGAATAATTCATATAAATGAATGCTTGCAAGCTCTTATTTTCGACATCAAAGAAGACTTTGATACCACATAACAGAATGGACTAAAGAAGATGATAGTAAAGAACCTAGAGTTCCGATTCAAACACAATGAACCTGAATGATGACTTATCTTGTCACAATATTTGTGCCTACATGCTATCGACATATTCTAAACAGTCATTTATGAATTTGCACTTGCAGAATAACTTCAGAATAACCCAGAATGTCAATAGTTTAGATAGCAAGTTGTTCAATATTACCGAAGAGGCAGAGACAGCGCAGCCATACAGAATAGTCAAGAAACATGAAGATTTAACTAACAAGTTTTTCAAGAAGACCAATTACAAACAAAGGATTAAAAAATACGGTTGCATTATTAAGGTGTCCAACTTGGGCAATAATTGAAATTTATAACCCAAAATCAGGCTTTACCATAGAACTTATAATTATATTTATACATGATCTGTAAAACGATTCAAGTAAACATACCCCAAATTTCTCAAAATGACTTATAATTATATGTATACATGATCTGTAAAACGATTCAAGTAAACATACCCCAAATTTCTCAAAATGACCAATCACAAACATATGATACTTCTTAAGAAAATATTCTGCCTCATTCATTGTGCTTATTCTAATGACAGGCACACCGGTCTTCTTCCTTGCCCATATTACTATTTCTTCCCTGAAATCAGAAATCAACCGGACAATACAGTAAGCACAATTGTCTATTATATGAGTTCTCCAAAGCGTATGATCCACTCTAAATTAATTTACAACTCAACATAAAAGAAAAGAGCAACTTACGCTGAAAATCCACCCCTATAAGCTTGAGGAGTGCCATTAACAAACAGAAGCAGAGTAGGGAATCCTTTAATATCAAGCAAAGAAGCCACCTTGGGGTATCTTTCAGCATCAAGCTTGGCCATCACAGTTGGACTTCCCAATTCCTTCAAAGAAGTAGCAGCTTCAGCAAAGTAGGGCATAAGCTCAGCACTCCTCACACACCAAGGAGCATACCCCAAAAGCAAAACAAACTCGTTCTCGTCAATAACCCTCTTGGAAATATCACTGTTGAGTTCAAGAACTATCCTTTGTGCTTTACTTAACACCTCTGCTTCTGAAAATCTACTGATAGACTCTTGGTCTTGTTGTAGCTGATCTTCTTGTTCATCCAGGGCTAAAAGCTGCTCAAGTTCATCGGAATCAGCTTCAGAGCTGGTGGGATCAGAGGCATTGATGTTTATGGTAGAAGAGAGTAGTAGAACAAAGGTGAGAGTGAGAAGAAGGAATTTGGAAGTGGGTCTTTGGTAGAAAGCATGGTGACCTCGTTACAAAGGAGGGTTTTCTTTTTCTTGGATGATTTTGCAATGGGGTTGAATAAATGTGAAAGTTTTTGGATCAGATCTGTGGCGGAAGTGATGTTTTTGGTTTTCTGGGTTTTTTGTGGGAGTACATTTTTCCCCCTTTAATGAGGAACATGCTTTTAAAGGATAGGCTGGTAACGCGGATTAAGGGGAGCTGACGCTAAATTTGAGGAGAGATTTGCTAGTGTAAACATTTTTGTCAGTCAAAATTGTTTGGAGTTTGGACGCCGGTGGGCCTTCATTTCTGTCTTTTATTTTATTAAATGAATTTAATTAGTCCAGATTTGAGTATTTTGAAAGAATGAACTGCATTGTACATCTTGGTTATGGTCAACGCTGCTTTTTAAACATAGGTTAAACTAACTGAAAATTTACTCTATTTTGGATTGTTAATATGGTACTTAAATAAATTTATGTAATTACACATTCAATCCTTCTTATTTATTAAGTCGCACCCAGATAAAACAACTTATCCCTCCATCTTAGAACAAGTTTAGTCTAATCATAAAAAGGAAAATATATGAGATCAGTAAATACTTGATTCATTCAATTTGAATGATGAGTCAACAAAAAGGATCCCTAAATTTTTATTCCAGTTTCAACTTGCAACCAAACAACATTCACCCCACAGGAAGAAGGGTTTTACAATCATCTACATATAATCTATGCCATTCAGTGTTCATAAAATCATGAAAATACAAATGAGAGCAGCAATCTGAAGTTGGCGATTAACTAACATTGGCACCATTAAACCACAGGAGTTAACAGTGGTTTCTTCTGAAAGTGTGCCTCCAAGTTCCCAATCACAAGATCAGCCATAGCTTCCCGGGTTTCCACCGTACCGCTCCCCACATGAGGTAAGAGAACCACATTATCAAGCCCAAAAAGCTCTTCTGGTACATAGGGTTCGTTTTCAAACACGTCCAGCCCTGCACCTCCTAATCGGTGTTCAACTAATGCAGAGACCAGCTCGGGTTCATCGACATGGGGGCCTCTCCCGATGTTGATGAGAACACCCTTTGGACCCAATGCATTGATGACATCCCTGTTGACAATGTGGTGGGTCTCTTTAGTCAGTGGACAAGCAACAACCAAGATATCACAATGGGCAGCCAGCTCGACAACACTCGGATAGTATTTGTAATTGATTTCGGGTTTCTTGGTTCTTGAGTAGTAACTGATGGGGCAGCTAAATGCTTCAGCTCTCTTCGCAATTGCCATGCCAATCCTTCCCAGACCGATAATGCCAACTTCTTTCCCAGTGAACTGAAATAATGGAACTAGTAGTTATAGACTTACCATCCCAATGACATGAACGACAGACTAAAACCTCAAGAAAAGCAGAAAGGTGAGGAGCCAATCATTTGAGAATTGGGTGGGAATATGAACCGTGATTGTTAGCTCCCCCAGTTCTACTAATCACAGATCACACAGAAGTACAATACAGACTCGTGTATAATTGTTTTATGCAAACATGTATTTACACGGATGTCCAAAATCCAAATAAGACAATAACAAATCCATATATATGCTACAAATCTAATTTCCAACGGGACTATAAAGACTTTTTCCCCTTTTTGCTCACCATGCCTTCAAATTTTAGTTCATCGTATAAATCACAATAGACCATTCAGAATTAATGTAGTATAGTCATCATGTTGAAACACAAATAGAGGAAATTAGTATCACAGGGTGAAATTTCAGAAGCAATGACCATTGAGCGCAATATATCAAATGTATTATATCACATATTGTATCATTGAGTTTTACAACAATATTTTATCATCAATTAGAACAAATTCAACAGAATATAGACCAGTCGAGAAAGGCCAATATCATAAAAAAAATTGAAAATATAAAAACCAACAAATAGAAACGAATTCAACAGAATCTAAGATCAACCCAGAAACACTAATATCATGAAAAAAATAGTCGAAAACATAAAAACTAACAAATTGAGACGAATTCAACGAACTACATATTATCAAATAAACCCAAACTGCACAATGAGGCGAAAAAATGTTAACGAACGAACCTTAGTAGTCAACACGTAGTCCCCTTTCTTCCACTTGCCACTCCTCACGTACCGATCACTCTCACAAAGCTTCCTCAACACCGCCAACATCAACCCAATCGCCAAATCTGCCACGTCTTCAGTCAAAACGTCAGGGGTGTTGGTAACTCTGATACCCTTTTCTTTACATTTTGCCAAATCAATCTTATCAAGCCCAACACTGAAGCTGGCAACAATCTCCAGCTTGGGCAACGCCTCGACGAGCTCAGCATCGGCACCGGCAGAGGCGTTGCCGACGACCGCCTGGATTGAATCTTTGTTAGAAGCCAGAAACAATGATTTGTCCGGCACCGTCCAGAACCTGAAGAGCTTGAAACGCTTATCGAGTTGTTGTTCGAGGTAAGAGTTCATGGGACAAGCCATGAGTACTCCAATTGAATCCATGGTTGGTTGAATTGTGAGAGATGGTAAGCCGGAATTTCAAAGCCCAATAAGCGTGGAATCTTACTACTATAAGAGAGCAGTGATGGGGATTGATTGCGGACTGCGAACCACTAGAAAAAAATTAAAGGCGGAGAACGTTGATGGAAAAAGGGTAGGTGTCACTGTTCAATCAACATTTAACTTTTTTTTTTCTTAATACCAAAATAAGTGACCACACTATACCACTTTCCTTAATAGTTACCTAAATTATTTTTTTATTTAGGTGTCTAACGTTACAAACGTTATCCATTTAGATGCTCGAGCCATCAACGACATTAATTTTCACCGTAAAGTGACATATGTCACAATTTGATATTTTGAAAGTTATTTTTTAAATATTAGAAATATTATTATATTTATAAAAAAATTATTTCTCTTAAATTATAAAATAGCCCCCAAATCCTTAAAATCTTCAACTCCTAATCTCAACTCGCTGATGCCGTCCTTTTTGTCCACAACAACCGTCGCGGACGTAGCCCTTGTCATCCTCTTAGTCATATGTCATCGTATTTACCGTCGATTGGCTATCGGAATTGCGATTTTCAACTTAGAGTTCGCAGAGTATAAAATATCGATTTGTTATTAATCGATCGTCGATCGCTCACGATTTCATAGGGTTTTGGTCACGGGGGAGGTCGGGTAGAGCTTCATCGACGAAAAAAGGCGACGGTTGATGTAGGTTTAGGGGTTGAAATGTAGGTTTTCAAAGTGATGGATTTATTTCAAATTTTGTGTTTTATTTTTTAAAAATTATATAATTTTAATTTTTTTTAATTTTAAATAAAAAATTTAAATTTAACAAAATGTGACACGTGCCACTTAATGGAGAAATTAACACCGTTTATGATCCAGACACCTAAATAAGTATCGTTTGTAACGTTAGGCACATTGATGAGTCAACAAATAGTTTAAACACCTATTTGGAAAAAAAGAGTAAAATATGAGCTTGAATTTTCATATTAAGCCTTTTTTTCTTTATTTACCATAATGGGTGGTGGGTTCGAATCATAAAAATTACTGTCATTTGATATGTTAGTGTGCTATAGCCTTTTAATATTCTCTCTTATAATAAAACTAAGCAAATATATTCGTTTTTACCCAAAAATCACCATGACAATAATTAATTATATGTTATATACCATTTCGCCAAATTTTATCGATCTAACACTCTTTATAACAAGGCACAGATCGTTATCTGCGTCTTTGTAGGGTTTCGTCCGAGCTGACATCACATAAGGAAAGGCGCGGATCATCATCCGCGCCTTTCTGGGGTATCTTACGTGCGCCTTCCAATTAATTTTCAACCGTTCACACATCCCACATTAATTACCCCATCCGACCAAACCCCTCCCCTCTCCATATAAATACCTCCTCCCTTCTTCATTCAAACACACACCAAATTATTAAATCCTCTCAAAGCCCAAACCTGATCAAATTCTATTTAGAATGTAAAAATATTTTACTATATTACAATAAATTAATATTTTATTAAATTGTATTATATTAACTTTTTATTTTTTTTGCAGTTATAAAATGGAAGGCGGTCTACTTCGTTTAAATGTACATTATATCTCGAGGCATTTTGCTAATACGGTAACACTTTTAAATTCTATTTTAATTTTAATTATTGTTAATATTTTATTTATTTAAGTTTTTTAATATTAGTTTATATTTTAATTTCTATAATATTTATTAAATTAGGGGAGAGATTGTATATTATATCACTTCACCCGTAATTTTAAGTTAGGGATACCAACCCGTATATGGTCGTATTTAGTCGAGGTTGGATTCAGTTACGTAGAAAGATACGAAGGGCACTGTAACCTAGAATCCAACCTGATTTCTGCATTGGTCGAGCGGTAGAGACCAGAGACACACACATTCCATCTTCTGTATAGAGAGTACACAATTACGCTGGAGGATGTTTTCATTCATTTGGAGCTTCCGGTAGATGGAGATGTGCTTTATGGGAAGTCACACGATGACTGGCATTCATTGTACCAGGAGTATCTTAGAGGCGTCCCGCCTAATTTCAACGGTGGTCGAATTCTGTTAAATTGGTTAGATACAATTTTCAAACATTTAAGTAGCGACTCCTCGGAGGAGCAGGTTAAAATGAATGCACGGGCTTGCATACTATAGATGATAGGAGGGCTCCTGATGCTGGACAAATCACACAACCAAGTTCACTGTATGTGGTTGTGTCACCTCACCGATTTTCATCAGGCTGGCACACAGAGTTGGGGCTCGGCAGTTTAAGCATTTCTCTATAGGGAAATATGTCGAGCTACTGACTATAAAAAAATATTGGCGGGTGTCTCCTTCTACTGTAGTCTTGGGCGTGGCATCGCATACCCTTTTTATGTCCGATGGTGAAAAACATGTTGGTCTTCCTGCTATTATTGAAGTAATTACAAAATTGATTTCGTATATTAATAATTTTATTTAGTATATAATATAAATTATTTAATTGAATAGGTGGTCAACTACAATGGAAGATCATCGGGATTTACCTAATGAATTAGAAGAAATTAGGCTACGTATTGATCAGAAGGTTGACACAGAAGTATATATTTAAATAACAAAATCTACTTTTAATTATCGTTATATAATTAGATTATTATTTTGATAAGAATTTTATATATGTTTTAGTTTGAATGAGCCCCTTATTGTACTGAAGAGATGAGGATTAGCATCCCACACGACTTAAGGGGGCCCATTAGATGTCTGAATAGCGGTGGTCCCTTTGATATATTATGTGATTGTCAAGTGGCATCCCACTGATCGTGTGCTTCGCCAATTTGGTTTTGTACAATCAATTCTGGAAGCACCTAAAAATCTCAACGATTTGCATAACATCAATCGATGCGACAAAAAAGAAGTAGAATGGTTACTGAAGCACTATGAGTGGGTAATGATATGTGAGGATCGACGTGGGTGCATTCCAGTACAGAACCCATTTATGTGGACCATTTGACGGTTGCAGATGGTTATTACGAGTGGTTCAACAGGAACGGAAAACCGTTCCTGATTTCTGAGGAAGCACGAGGTGGGAACATTCATCGACGTCGGTAAAGACGTCCACCGTCACAACATCATCGTCCCCTGACTCGTGGACGAAGATCAAACGCTTCCGGTTCATCCTCAGCTTCAGTACCGAAACCTTTACAACAGTCACTATTTATATCACTGTATATTCCGCAGTCATTTTAGATGGCATCTTAACCATATCAAATGCCGCCGCCACCGTAGAGTTATATGACCCCTCCTGGTGGATATTTTAGTTTCATGTTTGCATATCCAAATTGGGGTTCATATACTGGTTATTTGACTGGTCCAGCTTCACCATCGATGGCCGCCGCACATCACCTTCTGTACATTTTTCTCACTCGTCGATGTCGGTCTTTTCACAGTTTTCTCAGTTTTATATGAGTGGTGGGATATTTAGTTATACACCTCCAGTTCTTTATTTTATGGAGGTGTTACATCGTCATTCGTCCCTTATCAACAAAATGTATATGCTCTTGATGATGATGATGATGAGAGTGGGGATTCAGAACAAGTTATACGAAGAAATTCTCCTTGATACAAACAGCCACCGCCCTACGGAACACATTCAAAATGCAGAAATCGATAGATTCATACATTTTATTATTTTTGTATTTAACTTTTTTTATTTACCAACAATTGAATTTTTTTAATTATTTACCTTTTATTACTTAATTTATTTTGTTTATTTTTTATTACTTAATTCAAGCGAATACTTTTATTATTTAGTGTTTTTTAATCCATTTTCTTGTATCATTTTCTTGTTTAATTAATCGATGATGCTCAAATGTCATTAACTTAAAGTAAATTAAATTACAGAAACTTAGCATTCATAAAAAACAACTATATCAAGCACAACATCAAAGGTTACTTGATGACAAAAGAGATGCACATTTTTTCCTACTGTGTCCTGGGTTTCTACAATGCTTACATCTTTTGTTTTCTCTAAACGTTTTCCGAATATCCATATCACAATGAATTCGAGTGGATTTTGGACGACCGAGCTCCCTCAATAAGGACAGATCCGATATAATCAGAAGCCAATTATGAACCTCATTAGGGTCTTTCTCATTACCTATGAGGGGGAACTCAAATTCATATATACCATAAACACTTCTGATAGTAGGTATACGGGATCCACAAAAAGATTATAGTCTTAACGGGTATGCGATCAAGCTGCTATGACATGAGAGCATGGATACTTCAGAGCTTAAAAAAACCCACAGTCGCACCATCTGTCTCGTAGATTAACTCTGAACAAGTTAGCTTAAATCCCTTGAAGAGGTCGCGGAATCTCTGTGACATGAAATAATTCATGGGTTCTAGAGAAGCTTGTTACAGACATTCCATTTGATGTAGTAATTCTTTTTTTTTTTGTAGATTTGTAATTAATCTAGGGTGATAGACATGATCATTTTGTATCCAAGTTTGAGCTTGTCTCCCGAGCTTTACAAAAAAACACCCCCAAAAGAAAATATGTCTTTTTACCAAAAATCTTTATTGGTAAATGATGTACCCCTTTAAGGTCGAATTGATAGCCTCAGCCAAGTTGGTCGTCATGTGTCCATATCGATATCCACCATTATATGCATTTGTCCACATTTCTTTATTGATGAGGCTGATGTAATTGTATCATTCCTCGTTCTTTCCCTACAACTCTTGAAGCATTGACTAAAATGTTTGAGGTAATAGTTCGTAACCTGAGCATCAAATGTGAAACTTACTAACTTTGTTTCCATAAAAAAATAAAATGATTGACAAAAAAATAGCATTTTGACATACCCATGCGCACAAGTAATTGATGCTCATCATTCTTCTTGAACGTTCCATGATAGTTTGCATCAATGTGTCGGATATAGTACCGATATTGGACATAAGGTGGTTGTCACATTAGACCCAAAGACTCCATTGATGCTTTGATCCCAACTCCGCGATCTGATATGGCACATATTTTTTCCCTCGTGATAACATGTAA